AGATACTTTTTTTTTTCCCATTAGTGAATTTAGCTTATCACATCTATTTATAAGATGAGAATAAAACACATCCAAACGCTTATTGACATTCTAAGCTTGCAAATATAACGAATAGCTCTTTCCACATGCCTTTATACCTTTCTAGGAACAGGCTTGACAAAACGATTATAAAAAGAGAGGACTCTATCTATCTTTGTGCAGGTAATCTTATAAAAGCACTTATGTGTCATTCACACTCACAGAAAGCCAGAGTGCAACCTGCTGGTGCTTCTTCTTCACTGTATAGCAGATTTGAGAACAGAGTTGTCACTTCTCACATCTGCTCAAGCTCCTAAGTGATGCGGCTGAACAAAGGTCTAAGATGACATTTTCCCTTCCAGGGAGACAAATAACAGGGCTTGGATTGCACAGACACACCGTAGCAACCTGTTTTGAAAAGCTGAGCAAGATTTATGAAATGAAGAATCCTCTCACTGGCTCCTGCTTAGGCAGGATCTCACACAACAGCATCAAATACTCTCAGTAAGGCCGCTGTTTATTTATTTATTTTCTCATATGTCCAGTAATTAAAGATCTACCGATATTCAGAGCACTCTGCTTTTCACTCTTTATTTTAAAATGCAAATGCCAGTGTTAGCTGTCTTTGCCAGAAGAACATGACCAAGTTTGCTGCAGAGCCAAATTTCCCCTCTTGGCACAAGAGGATTTGATACTAATTGCTATTCTAAGCTGTGCATAAAAGAAAATATTGCAGAAGCAATGGAAAGAGATCTGAGGAACAGCAGTAATCATTTGGCCTCAAAATAGATGCTGGCAGTGTGCACAGCTTCAACATTTATTACTCAGTTGAACTGCCTAAAAAACACTGGAATTTTGACATTTGTGTTAACGTACAAGATAGTTCTGTATGGGTATGTGGAGTGGAAGGCAACCACATACAATCGTAATGATAATCCACATTTATTTTAAATTACCAGAAAATATTTTTTTTCACATTTTATTACCAACTCAGCTAATCAATGTTCTACACTAAAATCTTAGAACATGGAACTGTTTTGGCATCTTTCTGCCTAAATCCCTGGAGTTTCAAAAACAAAGAACTTAGCAGAAAAGGGACTCTGAAAAGTCTGTTCATTTTAAGGGTTCCTTTTTATTTAAATCGGAACCACAATTGCCAGTTTAACAATTTATCACTGGCTTGGCTTCTGGTATGACTTTTCACCTCTCAACATGATGTTCAAAAAGTGAACCATAATTAGGAGACCTTTGAGTATTTTGGAAAACAATGGTATATTATATTAACTATGGTATTAATTATGGTATATGCAGATGAACTCTTAGTTCAAGGAAAAAATTGCTGTTTAAATTTCCCCAAGTTATACGAACTGATTTGATTTCAGAAAGGAGAAAGAAAAAAACAGAATCTTCTTTTACATCCCATTCATCCTCCCTCCAACTTCTTCTACTATATCTAAGTTTGGTATCTAGAACTGAGAGGAAAGTTAAATCACACTTGTGAGCTGTATTTATAATAATAATAATAAAATTGTATTTGGCAGTTCACACTAACCTCAGCAGAAGACACTAGCCACTAAATTAGTCATGCTCCTATATTTTCTGTTCTCCTGATGCTATAGCTCTTGCAACCCTCTGTTCTCAAGTCTCTTTTTAAATTAGAAAGATTTTCTTTCTTTAACAAGCTACTCATATTAAAATAATAACATAATATTCAGAACGTGAAAGTAATACTGACCCTGGAGTTCTTGGCTTAGGTTTATGCTTCAGTATTTTCCTTCCAGGTTTAATACTGAAAGCAGCCAGTCAGGGTTGTTGCACACAGGGACTTGGCTGGAACTAACATTTGCTTTATCCTTACCCCAAGCCATACAGTTTGGTATTTAAAACAGGCTGACAGAGAATTTGTTTAAAGGTCTACTTCACTCATTATATTCTCCCTCCCACCTGAATATCTCACTGATAAAAAGATTAAAAAATAAAACCAAAAATAGAACAAACAGTCATCATGTCAGCTGCACGAGACATACACAGTCATATAATCCAACTTCTATTTCTAAAGCAAAAAGTGTCATTAAATTCCAAAGATGTGAACAGAAAACAACCATCAAGAGTCAAAAATATGCCACTCTTCTTTCAATTTCAGCTGTAGTAAGACAGCAATATTTGATATCCTTAACAACCTTTAGACGGATAAAGGAAAAAAAAAAAAAAAACAGACTTTCAGCTATCACCAGTATATCAATTTAATAGCATTAATCTTTCAAAACAAGTAATTCCAAAGAAAAAAAATCCTTGTTGCTAGCATGCAATAAACAACAAACACACTAAATTCTTCTTTAAATGAAGTGCAGTAAGGCACAAAGGAGTTTTATTACTCCTTTGCTCTTTTCAGGAATGCTGATGTAGCACTCCAAAATATTTACATGAGCCCGTTATCAACATATAGCTGAATATAGCTCCCTGAATAAGCCTTGTCTGTTACCTACACAGATGATTTTCTAGTGTGTGTGCGTGTGTATGTGTTGAGAGAGGGTAGGAGGAGAAGGGTATTCTTGCTCTCTTGACTTTATTTCCCAACATTTCAAAATTTCTTCCCCAAAAATATTTCTATCTGTGTCTGATAAACCCCAGATTTTCAGTAATTGTTGAATAGTATAGCAAGTCCAGGCAAACAGTGTAATACAAATTGCTGTAGCATCAAATCAACAATATTCCAAGTTATTCCTAAAAAATTTGACCGTCTCCCAGCACTAAGAATTATTATATCAAGAAATCAATAGATGAACTTTTGCAAATGATAAACAGTTAGAAAGGCAAAACCTGATGCTTACTGTCAAGCTTACTACCAAAAAACAATACACATCTGAAGAGGTTTTAAGGAGAGCAAAACTTTGACTGTCATTCCAATAAGTGGGCAAGATGAACAGCTTGCATTTTGTTTTTTAATCATCAAGCTAAATGAACCACCAATTAATCACAAGTTTATTTATGACTGGTCTGATAAACTCTGGGCAGGGGAAATCTTTTTCATTTGTTGGTATTTGTCCAAATGTGTCCAAAGTGATGCCATCACACCAAAGACATTGCTGTCTGCATATAAACACCACCAATCTGACTCTAATGTGAGTTAAATTGTGACTGGTGGAAATAATTTAAACTTCTGATTCAGAGGAAGTGAAGCAGGAACAACAAAAACAAAACAAACAAAAACCTCACAAAACAACAACAAAAAGGCTAACAAACTTCCTTGAATTTTCCTTGTATCTTCTGAGATTTTGACATCAGATACATGGAACAGAGTAAGATCATTTGCATAGTATTTCTTTCTGCACCGGACTGAGCCAAAGTAACAATCTAGATGTTAGCGAATGGTCATTAAGTAAAGATTCATCACACATTTCTATGACAAAGCAAAAGGGGATGTTTCACAAAAATACTCTCACTGAATTTCAAAGTAAGCACCTCCCTGAATATGCAGGCATAGAATACTATTTTTATTGCCTAAGAGTCAGTCATTCCAAAATTTTCAGCTTCAGCAAGAAAACAACCTGGTTTAACTTGCGATTAACAGACACAAGTGAAAATTCAGACTCAGGAATCCAGCTGTTTCTTATGATAATTGTCTCTCTCTCCCCTGGGAACACTGACCTGCTGCCATAAGAGGCAATAAAAACTAGGGCCAATCTCAAAGAAAAGGGAATTCAAATATCACTGAAAATTGTTCTGAGAGATACATACAGCATCAACTCTTTTTCTTTTGGCATTCTACAAAAGATAGATAACAAGAGGAAAAACATAAAATCTGTTTTCCAAGGTGTTATTCACTCAGGAAAATCCTCACTTTAGAGCTCTAAAAGCTGTAAATTTTGTCTCATCCATAGTTTCCCAGAAGCCATTGTTGTAATCACTCTTTCTAAGTGTTCACCAGCAGACTGCAATGAGTCAAGGAACTACAAATCAAACTATTGTCAAAATGTACAACTGTTTTCTGGTATAGTAGGCACTGAAAGCTCTATCAAAAAGTGACAATTTAACTCACATGCACAGGAAAAAAATGACAACATCAATTGTCATTTTATGTCATGTTCAAGACATGTTATCACCCTTTTCAGGATTATAAATTAAAAATGAATGTTGGCAGATAAAATTGTTTGTGTAAAGAAAATTAACCTCTACCATCAGAAATCTGCATTCCGTTTTGCTTATTGTGTTTCAGGTGACACACAAACTTTGTAACTGTAACAGAAACTTGCTCCTGACTAAATGCTTACTGGTACAAAACCTGCAAATTTTAAGGTTTTAACTCTGGAAATTTCAACTATAAATTTATTAGTTAGTTGTTATGCTATGAGGGGCTGTTGCAGAATTAACCCTGATGTGTTTTACTTGCTGTTCTTTAGGTATAAATCATTACCGTTTAGGCACTCCACTTCCCTGGCAGCTAATGTGACAGACAGCCTAAAAGAATTATGAATTTCTCATGAACGATTTATATTGCACATGCTCTCTCCAGAAGCTATTGTACCTCTCTGAAAAAAACTCACATTTTTGTTTAGATACGAAAGTTTCTTTCTATGGAAGTCACAGTCCTTATTTTTAGATATATGGCCTGCAATGTACATAAATAACATCATATAATGCATATTTCTATGAAATATAATTGTCTTTAAGATATAGCACTCAAAATAGCAAATTCAATGCAACAGCAAAACATTTTAAGACTGTGATGATGACATCTTATATCAAAGTTTGTTTCGTTTTTAAAAGTTCTAATGATTTCATGCCTGTTTTATAACAGTTTAGCACCAAAGCATCAATACTCTACACACAGAAGCCAAGCCAATGGCCTGTCCCTTCTCTTTTATCCTGCACACAAAGTGCACATTGTCACTTATTAAAGACAGATATTTTCAAGAACAAGGCATAAATAATAAGTGCACTGTTATAACAACATCATTTTATTCACATGCTACTTACAGCCTTCGTAGATATCTGTTGGTATGTGGACTGCTGCATGTTGGTAAGAAGTTTGCCGTCGGAAAACAGGATCTTCTTCGAACACTGGTCTGATTCTCTGGCTGCCAGATTCAGTATCATTCTTTTCAGGCTTTTTAAAGAAAGAGATGTACCGGTCAATATATTACAAAGTATGCTAAAAACAATTCCGTTTACTTTTGTCTCTATTTGCATAAAGACTCAGTCTTTCTTTAGTAGCTAAAGTTTTGCATCTGTCTATAAACAGACTATTTTTCTCCAGGTCCAAAACCATTTGTATTTGATTTGTTACAAGTAATTTGTATTTAATTTGTTACAAATTACAAATTACCTAGTTACCAAATTACAATTACAAGTTACCTAGTAAAAGTCAGTGAAGCAAAGAGCTGCAGAAAATAAAGTAAGAATCTAACACTTTATACACTTAAATTTTACAAGCACATGGAATTTTTATTAGACATACACATATATTTTTATTATACAAATTATACAATAATTTGTACTGAATATAAATATGGTAGATCTCAATTTCCCTTCTGTCAATTATATAGTAGATCAAATGTTCGCAAGTTATATCACCATCTTAAAGTTATGTACATTTCATAAGCAGATTTTGACCAATAATGGTATACAACGAGACACAGAAAAGAAAATAAAGCCTCTTTAGGACTTCTCACTGTAACAGGTTCTGGTCATTGGTTTCCTTTATTGAAAAGCCTTGATAAAAATCCCATGAACTTTTCTGGCTACAATCAACAGGATGGAACTGTTCCCAAAAGCTTAAGTACTCCCCACAACCGGCCTGCCTCAGATTGCCAATCTACCATATCTACCAGCATCACAACTTCTTGCTTCCTTCCAACCCACTTCACTCTTTTGGACTTTTTTTTTTTTTTTTAATTTTGACTTTATTTTCCTGGAGTTTTTCTGGGAAAACTCAACTACATAGACTGAATTGTGGAAAGTAGCAGGAACTAGCAAAGATGCAGATAGCACCTTCATCAGCTTCAGCTGCAGCACTACAGCCAGCCTCACCACACACTCAGACGGCCACTTAAGTTAATAATGAATCAACCATGAGACCAAATAATTACTTAGGACAGTAATTTCATGCAAAATAAAGAGTTTTTTTTTATATTGCAGAGTCATTTTTTTTTAAGATATGTTATAGTCTGAAAAACCATGTGGACCGGGAAACATCTGAACAGCCAAGCATATGTGTATTGAGGTTATTCCTTGTAGGCTTTCACCATGTCAGTTATCCACTACTGAAGTATAGACGATTAAAGTTTAAGTCACCAACAAATAATCTAACAAAAATACAATTCCCTCATCTGCTTCATTACAGGAGACCAGACAAATATAATGTTAAACACGGGCTCAAACACTGCTGGAAGTATGCAGACATCTCAGAGGGCTTTCAGGGAGCCGGTTCCCTTCAGAAACACAAAGGACAGATTTCAGCCAACCTGTGATCTCTGTTGTCTTCTCTGTTGTCTTCAGCTGATCATCCCAGGCTCCCTGCCTTCATAGTTAATAAAGAGAAGGTGGCACTTTCAGAGTGCAAATCATCCCATCTTAATTTCATACCTATTTTCCCATGAGATGGATCATGATGGAGGTGTGCCTCCTTGTTTCCTCTAACTGCAAGGGTAGCCTGGGGCAATTAGCTTAGCTGTATGTACTTGCAACACAGCTGCCTAAAATTAGGTCAGCTGAGTCTCAAAATCCAAGTCCATTAAACTTCTGGAAGAGAAGAAGGTGAACACTCAATAATGGTTGTTTTTCTACAGCTTAACTTCTGTGTATCTTTCTGTTAATGTTATTGTTTGTAGACTTGTTTGTAGTTACATTTGTTCGTTATCACTTAACACAACTTCTTCAGTGGATGAGAAGGAAAGGAAGACACTATTCTTAATACTCAGTATAGAGCCAGAAAAGGTTCTATCATGTCAAGCTCCAGTGGGTACTGAGAGGGAAATACCTGTTGGTATTTGCAAACCCAAAGAAATGCATTTTAGAGGTTATGATTTAAAAAAGTAGGAACCGGTCCTGTGCATTTTCTAGTCTGGTTTCACTTGAAATCCAGTTTGCAGGGTCTGTGAAATACAGGAAGTGGGACAAACAGATTTACTGAACTCCTGATCCTAACTAAGATGACATTGTAGTTATTTTCTCTGTCCTAACTCTATTGTCAAGTATTAAATTTTCTTAACAGTGAGGGCAACAGAGCACTGGAACAGGCTGCCCAGAGAGGTTGTGGAGTCTCCTTCTCTGGAGATCTTCCAAACCCGCTTGGACACAGTCCTGTGCCACGTGCTCTAGGTGACCTTGCGTGTGCAGGGGGGTTGGACTAGATGATCTCTAGAGGTCCCTTCCAACCTTAAGCATTCTATGATTCTATAATTTATGGTGCTAAGTAATATAGATGGATGTAAGGTATGTGGCAAATCCAAGGCCAAATGGTGACCTTTACATGCACTTTCGTCCACGTAAAATTATTTTCATGAACAGTTCTAACAAAGATATCTACAAAATGTCTAAAGGTTGCCAGAAAACTTCCAAATATTGGAGTTTTGCATTTAGATACTACTAAGAAAGTACTGTTCTAGCTTTGAACTTGAATTAGAAAAGCAGGCCTGAAATGTTTTGGTACAGTACAGCAGTCACTGTATTTTAAAAGGCTAATGGAATCAAGTGTATCTCCAAAAGTAACATTGGTACAATTCACCTTCAAACATGTAGAGACAAATTCAGTGATAGTTTATAGCTGTTTTGTGATTTGAAATGACACAACATTATGATAGCTTCAGACAATGTAATTTGGCTCAATTCTTACACTTCTTTTCTTCTAAATGTTCAGAAGGGATAATTTTTATCAATGTCTGAAATGCTAACTAACATTAAACAAATTCTGGAATTCTTCCCCTAAGTTATCTTCTGGCTTCATGCTGCTCAAAGTGATGAGTTTGTCTAAGACTGCAAATACGATCACAACAATTGCTTGTTAATGTGAGAGAACTTCTCACATGCCTGCAAACAGCTTGATTAAAAAAGCCTAACACACTAATTTATTTCTGGAATTATCACCAGCAATTACATCCTCTCAATGCTTTCAGAGAATGCTTCAGAAAAAAATGCCTAGGACTGTCAAGCTAATAAAACACCAGAATGAGTAGCTGTCATGAGATTTCTCCCAACTAGTTTTCCACAAGAAATACTTGGTAGGCAGTAAAAGAGAATCAGGGTATATTCATCCAAATTGACATTGCATAGAAGTTTTGTTACTACAATATACTGAGATTTTTGGTTGAAAATCCTGTGGGAATTCAGCATCTGAACATAGAATCATCATCTTTCTTCTTCTGGGTATTTTAATTTCATTCCCAGTTATAGGTATTAACTTCAGACTCTCCCATCACTCATAGCTATGGAAGAATATTCAAGATGCAAAAATTTGGGTAAGCTGTGGAAAACTTGTAGGATTTAATAATCCAACCACAAAATCTAGTCCCACATTTCTAACAGTATACTTATTCCTCCTAAAACAATGGGCATCCTCCCAAAAAATGTTCATAATATTTTACCCAACAATATTACATAATAGCAAAACAAGAACAAGATGGATCTGGCAACTCACAGACTCTCTGTTCTCAATTTAACTGATTCACTTGCTCCAAATGTGTGTTATGACTCTGCAGTGCAAGACATTGGACCTAACAGAACTACCTAAAATTATCTAGAAGCCTTTACAACCCTACTGCTGACCTGTTCTAGGAGTAAGTAGAACCTGGCAGCGAAACCACCCACCCAGGCAACCTAGATGCACTAAATGACCAAATAATCCAAAAGTCCTATAGGTCCCTTGATAGAGCATGAATTTTACTATTAAATCTAAAGATGCCTGAACTCATTCTAGGATGCAACAGCAAATACGGGCAGCATTATGGGCAAGGTGGTGTTGCACTCGCTTAGGATTCTGCTTCCTCACCAGCAAAACTAATGCTATGCCAGGCCCTCAACATCCATTAATTGCTATACATACTTCTACTTTCAGTAAGAATTCTGTAGTTTTCAGTTGTTAAAAGTCTAAATTACACATAAATAACATCTGAATTTTAAAAAGGTAAGGAAAGATGAATAAAGAAAATGCAATGTTATTAATGATATGTCTGATATGCCTACTAAAAGCCTGAGTAGATTGCTGCATTGGTGGCTACACTTTTAATACTTTAATGCAAAGTTTTTAAACTTTGTTTTTCAGAAAAGTAACACATATTTTGAAAGAAAGTAATCTGGCATGTGAATACAATTAAAATCTAACTCCAACCAATTTCTCTTGAGGCAGGAACTGAAACGCAATCAATATTGGCACAGGAAGGTCCCACAGGAGACTGTGGCTGAAGATTAATTTTCTATCTATTCAAACCTGGTATTCAATTATTGAATTGCATTGTTACCTACCACTGGCAGTCAGCAAAATAAGTCACTCATTTCTCTGAAATGAATCTCTCTCCCTTGGGAGAGAAAGATAATCCATTTCTCTTTTCAGTTCACATTTGTGCCATTTTAAGACATTATCTTGAACACAGTATTTTTTTCATGCGCCTATATTTCACTATCAGATTGAAGGGAAAGTATTATAGCATCCAGAATTTGGTAAAGTGGATTCTTCCATAGATGTTCTACATAAGCTTGGCCAAATCACTTAGAGCTTCATCTAAAATAAACTGGAAGTTGCTTACCAATTAGTGCTATCCTCAACCTCTGATTTTGTAAGCCAAACACATAGAAGAAATAATGTAACTTCTCTCTCAAGTTTTCTGTGAGCATAAATTAATTCCTGTCCATGGGGTACCGGGAAGCGTTGTGCCAAGAAGTGCCTCTGGAAGATGTGCATGGGAACACAAGATGCTGTTTGAATAAAACTAAAGCATTTCTAGAAACTCAGAAATAGTTCATGCCTATTGACATCAGGCACATAAGTGGATTTTCTACTATGACATTTTCATTGAATTGAAAAGCATTAAGTTATTCTTCAAATTAGACATATTTTATTCTTGTAATTAGAAATAATCTTTTTTTTTGCTTCTTGCAGGTTCTTCAACATCA